GAGGACGAGGACGAGGGCGAGGAGGAGGACGAGGACGAGGACGAGGGCGAGGAGGAGGACGAGGACGAGGACGAGGGCGAGGAGGAGGACGAGGAGGAGGGGGAGGAGGAAGAGTAGGAGGACGAGGACGAGGAGGACGAGGAGGACGAGGAGGAGGACGAGGAGGAGGACGAGGAGGAGGAGGAGGGAGAGGAAGGTGGCGAAAAGGATGGAGTCGGAGAGCAACATGAAGAGTGCTTGGCTAACCCGCGTGATATCACTCACTTTCGAAGTCACGACGGTCGCAGCTCGCGTCGACATCCCACTTTGTTCTTTTTCGTCTCAAAAAATTCAAACAAATTTGAACTCAAACTCACTTTCACTTTCCTCCCCCGACTGGCCCGCGCGACATTTCCCACATTCCGACGACGCCCGACCGCCTCGTTTTTTTCCGCCGTATGTTTCCCTCTTCCAGGGAACATTCACTCCACATTTTCACGTTTTCTGTGAGTCTCAGTCGACGATCTGACGCCGCGCCGGAAGAGGAGTAGTGGTAGGTAGGATGAAAGAAAGATATGTTCAATGACATCGCGGAACGCCAGTTAGGATGAAAAAAAAATTAAAAAAATATGAGGGACGGAGGAACGAGGCCGAAGGGAGCGGCGTTACCGGGCGGCGTAGCGTGGCGCTCCGATAAAACCGTCGCCGTCAGCGATTAGCAAGCGGCGCTACGTGGCCGATACCTCCGCCGTCGAGACGGAGGTCGGGAGGCGCGATGCTCATCTTCTCTTCGGACGTGGGGCGGATGCCCAAGTTGCAGCCGTGTCGCTCGGGTTGTTCATAGCTACAGTAGATCTTCCTCGGTCACTGTGGTATGGTAAGGAACAGTATTGGATTTGGATATAGTTCTACCGCCCTTGTCTTTGTCGTTTTGTGTCGTGGACTTCAGTGGTCGTTGGGCGTCTACGGGTAGTTGGCATGTATGGCGGTCGTCGGGACGGTGGTGGGATTAGTAAAGAGGGCTTGTGGGCATTGTGCCAAGACAAGTAAAACTGCAAATGCAAATGGTTCCAACAACCGGTCTCAACAGATTCAGTTCCGGCCATGCGGTATTCGGGTTGGTACTCAGGTCGCCACCTGTTCGCAGCCAGGAATAGATGGATGCGTTTTGCCCCGTGGCTGCCCATAGAACCCAGCTTTAAGGTCAGGTGGGGACGAGTGCACCGAGGCAGCCAACGTTGTCCAGCTGCATGCACAATGTGGGTCGTCGATGGCCGTTGTCGAATGTGTTGTCATGTAGAGGCGTGCACAACTAGGCCTAAAAAATAGGCGTAAGTGGGTATAAAATAGGTGTAAGTGGGTAATAGGGCGTCGCCCCGTCGCTGGGTATACGAACCGGAGCATCGATTCAATGTCAACATCTACGACCCCCCAGAACATCAGCTTCAACCATCAGGACAACCCTCAGAAATCAACGACTCACAGGGCAACCACACAGACACAAGATCTAAGGAGTCGAATGTGTTGTCATGTAGAGGCGTGCACAACTAGGCCTAAAAAATAGGTGTAAGTGGGTATAAAATAGGTGTAAGTGGGTAATAGGGTGTCGCCCCGTCGCTGGGTATACGAACCGGAGCATCCATTCAATGTCAACATCTACGACCCCCCAGAACATCAGCTTCAACCATCAGGACAACCTTCAGAAATCAACGACTCACAGGGCAACCACACACACACAAGATCTAAGGAGTTCCATCGAGTGATCTGACACCCACCCAGGCTGAAGAACTGCCTCGCCAACCCGAGTGGTAGCACTGCCTTGGCCAGAAACAGTATAAGTTACAGGGGTCTGGCCTGTCACCACAGCTTGTGATGCTTCCCGAGCTGCGCCCTCCAGACCGTGCCCGCTCGCAGCACTCACCGCATACGCGAACCTGCGCAGGAACACAAGGGTCAGGTCCTACGGAGTGTGAGTCATTCTCCTCGCCCTTTTTGGTTGAGGATTGTTCCTACCAGTCTATGGGTCCTACTGCAGTCAGCTTCAGTCCTTTGTTGGTCAGCCGCCGTCAAGTCCCATCATCCGCCGATGGTCAGTTGTTGTCAAGTACAGCCGTTCGCTGGTCAACCTTTCTGGGTCTGTCGATTTTTCTTGTCCCCACTTTTCATGGTGAGAAGAAGTAGCGTTACCCCAAGTCCCTGTCCCCCTTCCCATCATGAACACCTCTGCTTGTTACGCTGGTCACCGTCCCACTAACCTCGTCACTCCTCCCGCCTCCCCACCTGCTCCCGTCTCCACCTCGTTGAGTCCAAACACGTCATCTCCACTGGAGCCCCTTATTTTCAATCCCTTCCTTCTCGATTATTTCCCCTCTAACATCACCATTCACTCTGAATTTTTCATACCTGACAAGAACCTAGTCACTACCTTCACCTCTCTTATCACTCCCCTTTCTGGTATCGTCTCTCCCCCAACCGTCACTGCAGGAGAACCTATCAGAAGAATCTTTGTCCTTGATCCTCCTTCAGCCTCTCTGCTCCCCCTCCACCTCTTTGCCTTTCCCACTGTCGTACCTCCTCCCTTCGTCAACCTTTAATCTTACTTTGTACAAGAGCGTTTCAATTTTTACCCCATCTACTTGAATACGTAGAGTGAAACTCTTTTTGCACTTTTCATAATGGAACACATTTTTTCTACTAAGGAAAAACAGAATCGTGTAGCACGGCAACAAACTATTTACAAACGTCAGTCGGCGCACGATCTCAAGATTCTATTTTACTGCTTTTGCATCTGCATTGCAAATGTTACGGAAGCTTCTGTTAAATGTTGGGTAAACAGCGGTCTGTTAACACTCACTGAGAACCTCTTTTTGATTGGTACGCAATCCATCTTTTCCTGCCCCATCGCCTTCTTCTTCAAGGGTTTCTTCAAGCATCTTATCAAGAGTGACTTCTACCATCTCCGCCTGCATAACCTCATTGCTTTAGGACCTGGCCCGTGGTTCAGGCTCCTCAGGAACGGCATTTGCGAACAGGACCGTCACTACCTTCCCGCACCGGACCAGCCCAGGGAGCCGACCAGACTAGTGCAACCCCCAGTTCCACAACTCATTCTCAGACTCAAGGGCGGACGTCACCACTTCTCCTTCATTGACGCAAACGAGCAGGATGATGCCAAGGAGGAGAGTTGATCCCTCACCAATCTCAAGATATCATCGCCGTAGATCTCTCGATCCGGACGATGAACCAAACTCTCTAGGAAAACCAATCTCGGTGCAACATCTGCTTATCGTGCCTCGCCCTCCGCATGCACCACCATCACCTCCACTCCAGCTTATCCCTCCGAAAACTTATAGACCAAAGAGGAAACCAAGCGGTTTCAGATCCTTATATTTTTTTCTTTATCCTCTCTATCCGCATCCTCTTTCTTCTTATTCTCTTCCCCTATATTTTACTCTTCCTCAAACTCACCCCCTCATCCCGCTCTTTCCTACTCCCTGCGCACAGATTAAGGATTTGAATTGCTTTACCTCCCCCCAACTCGCAACCTATAAAACTACTACTCGAAGTATAAGGAGGATGAGGCAGAAGAAAAAGGCGTTAACCGAAAGATGGTGGCAGGACCTTACTCGTTGTTCTAATGTAGAGGACGAAGAGGAAGAGGGTGTGAAGCAAGGACTTGACACAGTCCACACTTCGGACCAATTAACCCGGAAGCGTCTTTTTTATTTTGAATTGGCCGACGAAATAAGATGATGACAAGAAAAGGGGGGTTAGAAGGAGGGCGAGGACCTATTCGCGCCTTGAAGGGAATAACCATCAGAAGGATGTCTATCGGAACCGCTCTGGGATCTCAATTTTAATCTATAATCTTCTGGTTTCGGCATTAGTCTATGACCAGTAAAGCTTTATACATCAATCGTTCTATCATTAAATGTTGTATTTTAAATCAAATATTTTTTTTTACTCTTCTCCCCTCCCTCATTGAAAGGCTTGCATTCCTCACTTTCTCCCTGACATCCTTAACTCATGTTTGATGATCACACTCTCAAACAAGCGTGACTACTTAAAAAAAAAAAAAAAAAAAAAAAAAAAAAAAGGTCGGAAAATAAGGGGGGGAGGAAACAAAGAGAAGGAAAAAAACTATTCACCATTCAACCCACCTTTTCCCAAGATTATCATCCCGCTCTACGACCGACTGACCGATTGATCGTTCGAACATCCAAATCTGCAAGTTGGGCTCTTGACCGATTTGTTTGGATTGACCGATCGACCAATCGATTGATCGTTCGCAACATTCATACTTTTTCTTTTTCTTCCCCCATTGTTAAATCCTTGTTACATCATTTATCCACTGCTCACCCGACAAATCGATTGATTGATTAAATATAAGATTGATCGATCGATCGATTGACCGAGCAATCGATAGATCGACCAATTAATTGATAAGTCGACAAGTCGATTAATTGGTCGATCATTTCGTTTGATAGTTCAAACCAATCACTCAATAGTTTGCAAGTCTGTTTCTACTTCCCTGTCATAAAAACACAACCAAAACACTTTCTCTTCCCATGAATGATGTACTCTCACAAGCAATCTTAAAATATTACTGATGACCATCAACCTATTTACTCTATTGATTGAGTGCGCGCCGCATTATCAATGGGTCGACCATTTAGTTGATCAATCATTCAACAAAGTTACAACCTAATCTCATCCCCTGTGGAGATTCTGACAAATATTTCAACAAATCTACGACCAATCAACTGTTTGATCGATCGGCCTTCCAAATCATCAAGACGGTTTCTTGACCTATTTGTTTGGATTGATCGATCCCAAGATTTTCATTTCAATCCCTCATCATCAATTCCTATTTCAAAACTTATCCACTATTCAAGACCATTCACTTATGATTGATCGATCAACCAATCGATTGATCAGTCAACCTCTCGATTGATCGATCAATAAATTGATCATTAGATTGCATGTGTAATCCTACTTCCTCGCCCTCAAAACGTATCCAAATCATTTACTCTCCCCATATATGATGCGCCTAAATAAGTTCGAATATTTTATTTTTTCTCCTTTCTATTTCCCCTTGCTTGTCATGAAAGATACTTCTCCCTACAATCCATCTCGCTAGTCAACCCATTAATCGACCTATCATTCCAATCACTTACAATCGAGCTATCGATCGATTATATTAGGTTAATCACCAAACCAACTAGTTGATTGATTTTAGCAAAACTGCCACTTAATGTCTGTATTCCTGGGTGATAAAACGAATGTTTATTTATTTATTTATTTTTAAAGGGGGGGGAATCCATGCCTCACTATGATATACCACATTGATCTCTCGACCAACTTGAATCACATTGTTCAGGCAGACCAATTGATTGACTGA